AACGCAAAACACTTTGCGTTTAATCGCAAAAGATTGCGATTAAACGCAATCTTCTGCGTTTAAACGCAATACTTTTGCGATTAAACGCAATAATTTTTGCGTTTAATCGCAATGATATTTTTGCGTTTAATCGCAATAATTTTTGCGTTTAAACGCAATACTTTTGCGTTTAATCGCAATAATTATTGCGTTTAAACGCAATAATCTTTGCGTTCAAAGGCAATAATCTTTGTGTTTAAAGGCAGTCATTTGTATCAAACCTTGCAGAGAAAAATGGACCCACGCATACTTATATCTTTTATTTCTTTCTCTTTTTACTTATTAGGAAATTGTGTGTTGTCTTTATAGAATCAGATTTCTCCGAGCAAACACTCTCTGAAAGGTAAATCACTAATAAGAATTTATAGAGGAGGAAAAAATGTCGGGTTGTAAAAACAAAGGAATCCTAAGAACGAGACATGTCTTAAGCTTATTCTCTACATTTTTAATGAAGTTTCGGTCAGTTGTTCTGCTAAAAAAAACTGTCCCATACGTTGCAGTCACAAGTTTAAATCATGCATAAAGGGATTTTTGGAAAGGACTGAGGAAATGTTGGAATTACGTACAACATGATGAAGTATTTAGACTTCAATGTACATTCATAACCCTTCCTATGGTTGCATACAGCAAACACAAGAACATATGTGATGGATTTATATGAGGTCAAAATCAAGATCAAATGAAAACAGATTGATCGATGTGTACTACATGTATCAAATTGACAAGTGCTATTAATACCACTGAAACTTTCTCTATAAGTTGTGATACACGTAAGCAATTGATCAGAGAGTTCATGAAGAGTTTTGGGTTCTAATACATTTATGACATTCAGGTTGTTAGGATGCCATTGTTTTATTACAATTTTCAAAAACTGGAAAATTCTGCAAAAAGACACAGAACAAATCGGATCTCCTCAAAGTTGAAGTGTCGGGTCCTAGTACATGTAATTATAAGCTGTGACTAATTCATGTTCGATTTTGAAACTACAGTATCATTGTGTTTAAATGCAAAACAAATCCTTATAAGGAAGGATTATTGCGTTTAAACGCAAAGATTATTGCGTTTAATCGCAAAATTATTGCGTTTAATCGCAATACTATTGCGTTTAAACGCAATACTATTGCGTTTAATCGCAAAAGTATTGCGTTTAATCGCAAAAGTATTGCGTTTAAACGCAAAGTGTTTTGCGTTTAAACGCAATATACATTGCGATTTATCGCAATCTTTTGCGTTTAAACGCAATAATTATTGCGAGTAAACGCAATGTTTTGCGTTTAAACGCAATAATTATTGCGTTTAAACGCAATAAAAAATATTTCTTTCTCTGAGCTGGCCTCAACGGGCTTCCGTAAAATCATGATTTGTGCAGAAAATAATTTTGATGCAATCGGCGTGCCATAATTGTCGGCTCCAGTCTGTCTGCTTAAATGTCTTAGTGACAAATTGTATCTAATTTCCTTTTCTTTGTTATACAGAAAGATAAATATCCTCTTGCGTAAAAATGACTATCAATATGTAGAGGTTAGCAATTTATATGGTGAAGCGTCGAAGGTTTTGTCAGTAGATAATCTTTATTTGAATACTTATCTGACAAGCTTGAAGAATATTCCAAAAACAAACTTATTATAATAAGTTATATACTTCTCCGTGCAAGAATAACTTCGCATTACTTTACAGAGAAACAAAATCACACAAAATCATCTTTATATGCGATACTAGGTTTAAAGTTACAGATATTTAACCCTCATCATTTTGCTACAAGAGCTTTGTAATTTAATCAGGTGTCAAGAGTAATTATTTGAAATATTCATGAAACATTTTGAGTTATAAGAAGAAAACACTTGATCATATTGGCAAAATCTTTTTTTTTTTTAGACATTTTTATTTCTTCTTTCAGATATGCAATTTCAGGATTAACAATATAAATATTAAATACAGTCTAGATGTAAACCTTCATCAAGCAAAACCATGTATATTGAAGTTGATACATTAAATAACCGACCCCTTCAAATACCACATGTTAAGGACTAATAACCATCTACTCTAAATTTTACATTTTTAAACAAAAAAAATTCTCAACATTCATTTTCATCAAGAGCTATAGCATCAGATTCAAATGAAAAATAGTATGAGGTACATGTATGAAGCGCTGCTTATTTTTTCAGATACGATTTTTATATCAGATCATGATATACAGAAATTTTAATTAACACGGAGAATTGGAAGAGTAATAATTTATATCACAACATAAAAATAAAAATATGATATGTACAATGTACATAAAAATAATATTTATTGTCATACCCATTTAATTCATATTAGAAAACATACGAAAGCGCTGCTTCCTAAGACACAATGTTATATGTGGTGATAAGAAAAGCAAGATTTATTTTTCTTATAATATTTTTATGGGAAAAATGTAATACTAATTAAATTCTACATTTGCTACTTGATACATTAAAGCATTTTTAAAATAAACAAATAAAAAGGTAAAGCATATTCAATTTGTAAGGGTTTAGAACCGGATTTAAATGTTTTTGTCAAAAATAACAAAACAAATTGAAAAGTATAGGCATGGGAAATAGAAGTTAATGTTTCCACCATATGACAGGTTTAATCGAATCGACTACTCTTAAGTCTCAATTATTGAACTCTGATAAAGTAAACTATGAGTAATATAAGAATTTTTAACTTGGAAAGTTATCTCTCTTATTAGAGGGTCCGTCCCTCTTAATTTTGATGGTGAAATTCACGAATTTACAACATGATTTTGCCTTCTTCCAAGATGATATTTTTGCAAGAAAGACAATGTCATATGAAATGCTGTACGTAAGGTGTTATTATATATGAAATATGAATATGACGAACAGTATTCATGCTCAAAAGTCTATTGAAACAATACAAATCTGGAGCGGAGCAAACGCGAACCTCTAAATGCATCAGAGGTGGGATTAGGTGGGTGTCATGGAGAAGTAACCATCCCCTGTCGACCGTTCACACCCGCCATGTACCCATTGTCATGATCAGACAAACGAAAAAATCCGTGGGTAATTCAGTGAAAATAATGGCCTAATAATTAATATGGAAAACGTCGGTCAACATTTGACTTAATGATAGATTGAACTTGCCGACAAAGTCATTGTATCGACGATAGAATTTGCGAAATGTTGATTTAAACGAGTATGTTGATATTTATGTTTCATTAACTTATTTGTCGGTAACTTGCCTCGTTTTAGAAATTGTTCGTACGTAGAGCATGCTCTTGCGTATCGAATTATATAACTTGGAGACATAAACTCCATATGCAGGTGATAATTATGGTATACTGCTACATAAACAAGGGAAGCTGACAATGAAATAGTTGAATTCATCACGTTTATCATAAAGTGTTGTTGTTAGGTTACCATTAACGTCGTTTTTTTTTCTAGTAAAATATCAAAATATGAAACGGACTCTGTCGTATCTTTTATGTCGAGTTCAAAGGAATATATCAAATCAACATAGAAATGAAAATAAATATTGTTTATAGTCAAGACGTCCTCGATATATCTAAAATGCTGAATTGAATGTCACAGCAGGAGACTTCTTCTTTTCATGTACATGTAGAAGTTTTTGAATGAATTCGGCTTCATATGAATACAAACATAAATTTGCTAATAACAGGGCGCCATTGGTACCCATGAAGATTCCGACAGATTGTTGGAAGACTTTATCTCCAAAAACTACAAAGATACTGTCAATCAGAAATTCAAGCATCTTTTTAATATCAACTTCAAAGTACTTGTGTGTACAATCAGAACGTTTTTAAAGAAATCAGTATGGCAGCCCTTTTTAAATTGTATTTTGACTGTAACAAGATTTTGGCTTACCAAGGGGTATATGGGGACCAATGTTTGTAAATCATGGGTCAGCATAATGCTGTCACGGTCAAAGATTACACCCGCATGATCCATGTATTATAAGAAGCAATACAAAAACGGCATATATGTTTATTGCTCTAAATTAACCTTTGTATTTTACCAGATCTAGAAAAAAGTAAATAACATGTTTTCTTCGGTCAAGAATTTAGGATAATTGAATTTGACTCTGTTATCAAAATTATTGTTATTATATTTCACACAAACTGACAAAAAAAACCCCACAAAATCAAAAAGAAAAGAAGCACAAATATATCCTAAGCCCTCATAAGATCGATAACTGCTAATTCAACAGTAAGAATTCTAGATCTAGCAATTCGATCAACAGCTGAGAAATGTTACACATTAAATACATCTAAAATATTCCGCTTTTGTTTTGAAATCATTATTTTTTTTACTTAATTTCCATCACTATCATCAGAATCTAAAGATTGTGAGGATGATTCAGACGATGTAACGTTTTCAAATTTGACAGCTAATTTTTCTTCTTCTTCCAGAAGTCCAAAAGCAGTGTCAATTCGAAAACAACAAGTGAAATATTCAGAGTCTTTTGTTGTGTTTGATGTTTCGTAATCGATACTTGCGTGGTTTTTCTCATTAATAGGATCATTGGTACTGGGCAAGTGGGGTTTTACTTCGGGCTCCATTGATTCTATATCTTTATCATCGGAATGTACAGAAAACTTATCATTTTCATCCTCCCGGCTTGTTTCTGCGCTTTCCTCTTCCACTAGTTCAAGATTGCTGGCATAAACCATTCCCAACACATCAACACTGTTCTGTTGTACTGTCTGACTCCTGGAAAACACAACAGATCCACTATCACCCTGTTCAGAAAACACAGTATTTACACCCTCAATAAGAAAAATGTGCTCTTTATTTTCTTTATCTACAACGTCATAATGATCCCAGCTAACAACAGCTCCTTTCGTTAGATCTGTTTCAGCGCCTCTTTTGTACACTATACCAATATTTTCCAGATCGTTTTCAGTGTAAACATTCGCTTTAGCTCGTTTTCCATCTTCTCTTCTAAAGGAAAGATCACACTCTTTTTTTTTACTCTTCCTTAATTTTAACGACCGCGAAATCACAAGATTTGTTTCTAGTTGTATATACACATTTCCCAATTTCCAAATCTTCTCCGTGCGGACTTGCATACGATGATTGACTTTTCTGGGGGTAAATGTGGTTGCATGTCAAACCATATATATTATCATCATTGTCCTTTTCTTTCACCAAGCCACCTAGGGTTGCGGAGTAGACTGTATCACCCTCCTTTCCCAGTATTGCGTCGCCCTGCTTCAACGTTTTTTTCTGCACGAATTTCTTTGCTTTTATTTCTAGTTTATATTTCTCAAAAAAATCGGGATCCCGTAATTTCAGTTCATCATTGAGCTCGCCTTTATCCGTGCTACAGGCAACAAATACTTTAAAAACCCCATTTCTCCATAATCCAAATGAATTAACTCCTGCTTGACTGCAAAATAATAATTTATAGGACAATATAGAGATTAAAAAGTGACCATTTTTTCAGCGTATTTTTAAAAGTAAAATTTACCCCTAAAGATATTCTTTGATGGTGAATGGAACAACGCTCTTTGCTTTGGAAAGTGTTGCAGGTAAATTAAGCTTAAAGATGTGTTTCAACACAGATTTCATCTCAAAATTCAGTTTAGAAGCAGCTTTTGATGACACACTCCCCACTGCTTTTATCCATTTCTCCAATGTACGAATTAAGGTTTCCTCCAAGCACGATGTTATTGCTTCCTGAATTTTTTCTCGGTTTCGATCTACCACGGCTATGGAATGGTGTACATTTCCAGTATTATCATCATATTGAGTTTTTATTAAAATCTTATGACATGCTTCTCCTTTATTGAGTACCTAAAAATAAAAAAAATGAATACAAATATTTAATTTTGTAAAAGAGAACATTTTCTTAAATGTATGAAATGTCCTTTTACTAATTAGCGTCTTATTTAGGGACCAAATATGACTTTGATATAACTCATTCCAGTATATGTCTTATAAATCCAAATACTAGTATCGTATGATTGATTTTATGTTGTTTTACGAATTTTTCACTCGTATAGAGACGTCACCATATACCAGTGAGAGATCTTTTTCGTGCCAACGCCTGTCGTGACACGGGGCCTCGGTTTTTAAGGTCTCATCCTAAGGGCCCGCAACTTATACTTCAAAGTGCCGAGCGCATGGCGAAGAACAGTTGCTACCTATTTTTTATCGACTTAATCGCGGCCGAAATTCGAACTCGCGACCTTCCGATCACGGAGCGAGCACTCTACCGACCGAGCTACCGTGAACGGTGATATCTTATGAAACATTACCAATATTACAAAAACCATGTTCAATGAAACAGGCGCCCGCATTGACGTTTGGTTATATAGTGTATATTTCCTTCTTTTCCACTTTAAAATTCTAAATTTTTGAGAGTAATGAGAAGTGTATGCAAAGAGTTTTTATTAAGACTCCTATTATATTGAGAACCAAATTATTTGTCCGTCTATATTCTTTCCTCGTGCCCTTATCAAACTGTATCATTAAAAAGATTGAATACATATACATATTTTGATGCCTTTGAGGAAAGATTCCTAGACAGAGATCGAGGATAAACTACTGTGCATTTGTTAAAATATGTGCGATCATTTCTATTCATCATAGTAGTATTCGTCAATAATGAAACACTTTATTATCACATTTATACGAATTCCTTTTACATTCTATTCGTTGGAGAGTAAACATGAAACCTTCATGACATCTTACAAATCAACTCGAAAATACCCTTCAAATTCATCATCTAAATGTTATACCAGTTTATTTGTAAATAAATGCAGCATTACAAAATCAACGAAGAAAATAATTCACTAAAAAAGAACGCATTGTTACCTCAATTTTCGACTTTTCAAAACAAATTAGAGGTACTGCTACCCAAAGTTTGCCTTCCGTTTCTTTGAACCTATGTTTAATAATGGGGAGAAAAGGGCATTCAAAGCATTAAAAAGCCTTAAAGAAACAGATGAAAAGCAAACAAAACTGTAAATTATTATCGCAAGTTATTTATTTACTGATGAAATCAAGGAAACTGTTTCCTCTGTAATGATTGAAAACGTCACTGTAAATACGACTAAGATAAAAACAATAGAAATCTAACTTCTTTTTTTGGATATAATTCTTAAATCTTCTTTTGAGACATCGTCAGCAAAACTTATTTTTATTATAAGCTCGTTTGGAGGTGTCATCACTTCATCAATTTCATCAGAAATTTTCCGCAGACGAAATTCACAATCCTTCACCAAATTGTACACGTAATTAAAATGAGGAAAACTTTCTGTCACGTAGTATCTGTGATGTAAACCATCTGTGTCAATATCTAAGACAAAAATAAAGAGATGATTGTAAGTAATTAAAAATTCGTGTTTTAAGGAACATTAAAAGATCTACCATCCGATAATCATAAAGAAAGGATATTGAAAACTATTTCTGTAATGGATAAATAACGAGATGGTGTTGAATAGTTTAGAGAAAACATTCCCTCCGAGGGCCGAAAGCCCGAGGAGGGTATGTTTTCTCTTAACTTTTCAACACTATCGAGTTATTTATCTTACTTAAAAAAATTCACCGCTTTTGACCCCCAAAGAAATATTCACCCATTCATATATCCAACTTTGCTGTAATACAATAGGATCTAGACCATTTAGATATCCAACAGTGACACAATCACCCCTACTAATGTGTTCGGAACATTTTATTTTTCGGTGTTCTGCAAATTATAAAATCCGAGGAGTTCCCAGTAGCTCTCACAGTAGCTCTGGTGAGATCTAGCGAGACTTCAACGAGATAAGGTAAATTATTTACGGAAATGTGGCTAGGAAGTGATTAGCACGTGAATACATGGTAAACAGAAAAGTTATCTTGCGTTTCATTTTTCAGCACTGAATAATATCTATAGAAATGTACTAATCTTCAATCTCTCTTGAATTCATTCAAACGTCAATAAGTACTCCTCATAACATTATTTTCTGCACTTATGTATTATAATTTAATGCTTGCATGGGAACTGGGACTATATTTTTTGGCGTTAGATTAGCAAATGGGGTACCAATAAAGCTTAATCTGAATGAGTTGAATTGCATTGTGGATTACAACGGATACTACAGTAATTTTACGCTTGAAAAATAAAAACAAGGCGATCGGAAAGGCACATAGAACATTTTTTTCCATGCATTTGCATGCATTTTCATGCTGTCCATTTTTATTCTATTATTTCCATGCTCCCAATTACAAACAATTCATTAATAACATGTTAAATAAACGTGGAATTCTAGGTTTATTAAAGTCATACTGCAAGGCGATTTTCGTCTGCATTCCTTTGTTGTACTATCGGTGAATACAATTGTCATGTGGGTTCCCTGACCACAAAGCACAGATGATCACGGGTATTGTAATATGAAATTTAACTGTTTAATTGTAAGGAATGCTTTCCTTAACCTTGAAGCGCTAGTGTTCTGAACTTGGTACAGACTACCCTTTTTTATGCATTTTCTAATTAACAACGTAACAACAAATTAAAAACGCCCTTGGCATCTTTCATAGTTTTTACTCTTCGTATTTTTTCATATAAACAGTTTTTTAAATTTTTTTTTTCCAATCCATTCAATATCGATCGTAGATTGAGTTGAACCACGTGTTCGAAGTAAAATGTAAACATATAGGTGTCAAGTTAACGTTGCTATTCATTCAATGATTGGTCAATTGTTGGTGGTAAGATGCTCTGTGCGTATTAATAGCAAAAGCCATATAAGGTAAACAAAGGTTTATCATATACATTTTTTTCTACCAGTGTATCGGCGATTTTGGAAAAATTAGCACCACTAAGCTCCAATTTTCGCCGTAAATTATCACAAAAGCGAAGATTAATTAAGTAGATTGTGATTTTTTAAATGCCACCCCATTTCTGTTTAAAATCTTGAAAACCTTTCAGAAAGTTTTTAAAAGAAACAGATTATAGCAATTTCCTGTTTACTGCCAAATTTATTTATAAAACCGGTTCTACCTTTAAGGTTATAAGTTATAACCTTTGAATGGGTCAACCTACACCACGTGCCTTGAATTTAAATCACAATAATATTAATAGGGGTGACAATACAATAGCCTAATCGAACACTCCTTGTATTCATGGACTAGTGAACATGAAACTGCATGGTGCTAATGCCATTTCAAACCTTTCCATTGTACTGAACAGTCGTGAAATCAGACGAAGAATATTTTTAAATCCAAAGTGAATTTAGAGAGGTTTAGATAGTGTTTTGAATACTTTGACCTGAAAGCAGAAGAAAACTAGAGAATTTTGATAAACGTTTGGAAATTTATCATTTCATATAAGATGAAGATTTGTTTAGGAAAAGTGTTGGAATCTTATGGAGTTCCATTCGGACAATACTTCTAGTAGTGCTAAATCAGATGTAAAAATTGTCGCCGTTATGCCATATCAAGATCTGCAATAAAAATGGTGTCAAAATATAGACGAGCTGTCAATTTATTAAATTGTTTTAGGAAGTATGAGAACAGAAATGAGCCTCGAATAATCAGAGGGGATTTGCTGATAACGGACCCTTGAAATGATATTCACCAACAGGAAGTGAAGTAGTTTAAGGTTCAAGGTGAAAATGTATGTATAAGCGTGTCAAAAAGAGATGCTTTTAAAATTTAAGACTGGAAACATTTCTGTAAAAATACCCTCGGATAAATATTGGATATTTTAATGACGACAAGACTCTAATATAGTGCAAAATTGAGAGGAATTGTTATTTTTGTGAGCATTGGAAGTGCATTTTTAACACGATTCTCATGGTGTGAAAAAAAATGCGAATTAATTAATTCAGTGTGCATTGGAAATAAATTCTAATAGTGTGACAAATTCGGAGTAATTACTATTTTTCATGTGCATTGGAAATACATCTTAAAACTATTTTATCTCTTTTGTTCATTGCTTATGTATGTTTTTATGCACAGTTGGATATTTAAATATCCAACCGATAGGCAGTTGGATATTTGAATATCCAACTAATGGCCAGTTGAATCTTCAAATATCCAACAAGTGCTGATTGAATCCGTAAAATATACGTAGACTAAAAACAATGGGTGACGTCATTGAAGTTTTTTAAATTATGAATAGCTTTTCATGCTAAGAACACTTTTCTCGTAACTTTCGAAGATATGATTACGCATTAGATATATAATTCTTCGCAGTTATTTAAAAATAAGCTTTCATCGGGTAGTGTACTTGTCTGCAAGTGATTTTCTTGGAGTATTAAGAAATTTTATTTAAATTCTGTCCTTTTATTCACTCACTGAGATCGCTAAATAAAGAATATATCAATCAGTGGCGGATTTAAGGGGGGTGCATCCAGCGCCCCCATCCCCTTACAATTGTCAAAGTTAGCGTAAATCATAGTTTAGTCTAGAAAATGTAAAAATTGTCTACTCGGTGGACCTCATTTTCAACCTACAAAGTCTCTAGAATCCAGGAGCTGGGGGCCTCAAGACGGCCCCCAGACCCCCAGCCTACTTTATGCCCCCCCCCCCCACTTCAATTCCTGGATCCGCGCCTGCCAATATCTTTGGTAAGTGTACTGTATCACCAGAAAATCACTTAAGACTTCTTGAGGATAGAGCGAGGCGTCTTTCAGTGACAAGAAGCGGCGAGGAGAAATCTGTAGTTTGTACCAAATTAGATGTACATGCAAGATATCAAACACGTGCTCGGAGAATTTCGGTAACATTAATGTCAAGTAAACATTGTACAAACTCGTGAAAATATATTAATTTTGAAGTATAACATTTATTATTTAGAAATAATAAAACCTTTTTAAAACCTATGACATGTTAATTACACAGATATTAGTTCTCAAATGTTCTTCTTGAGACTAAAATCTTGTATTCTACAATTAAAAACAACGATTTAAGTAAGTATTACAACACATTTCAACTATGCACTTTTTAAAAGTCTATACCTACAAAAAAAATCATCATGAGTTTTGACACTTTGGCCAAGTGGTCGTAAAATAGACAATTGTAATGCAGATCATAAAGTGTTGTCATCAAGTCAGAAGTTAACATTAATAAAAAAAAATATACTACAAATTAACTAACCTGAAATTGTTGATTTTAGAGTAACCTCATTTTCCAAATTTTCTTCTTTGGTTGCTTCAAAAGACTCTACATTTTCTGTTTCCAAACTCTGGAAAATATCTTTAAGCATAATGCTCACAAAATGTGAAAGTGAATAAAGTCAATTTAATATCTAAAAACGATGAAGAAATCAGGGATGGGGTAATGGTAAAGTGTAATGGTAATGTGGAGTAATTAATTACAAATTTCGATGTAATTGAAAGTAATGTTTAATTGACCAAATTTTCAATTACATGTAATTATAATTTAATTAAGTACTTTCAAGAAAAGGCATGTAATTCACAATTACTTTTCAATTACATTCAATTACACTTATGTATATATTGAATGACCCCCTCCCCCCCCCCTCCCACTTTTGATGTTTGTTTTTTTTTAATTGTTAAAGAAATTTAAATGTTTCCCCTTTTCAGTGATTTTTTTCCCTCTTGTGCATTTTCTTTAAAACTTTCGAATCAAAATAATATATCTGTGTTTAATTTACATATAAATATAAATTCTGATTAAGTTGTTTATGAATCAATAGTTAAATTAATTACTGGTAGTCCAAGGGCTTATAATCCTTTGTTTACTGTTTGTTTACAGCTTGTGTTAGGAGTGATTAAAGGTGCTAATTAGTGCCCTAAGGTGATGAACATACTGACACTGAACTTTCATAGATATTTTACACACACTTTGACTTTGCATTTATGGTAGTTTGACACACAATATGTCAAATACCAACAATTTGAGATATAGTTTAGAATGCTGAAAAAGGAAACATCAAGGCAAATTGCATCCATTGTTTTACATAAACATATCAGAAAGCTTTAAAATGACATAAAATTTTGTAACACATATGAATTAGGTAAAAAAACATGAGTAAACTTGTTAGTCATTATCTGTCTATTCCTGTAACATACAATGTACTATATAGATGAAACAAGCGCGGGGAATTGAATTTATACCACTAACGACAGAAAATATATTGTAGTTTCTACTGACAGCCTACAGGCATAAAGCAGGAAGAAATATCCCGCACGAAGTAGATGTACGCCCCCTCCCTTTTTGTAAAAACTTGAAAAATAACAAATTTCATTAATTGACGTTTATTGTGAAACCTTTTATACTAGTATGTTATGGATATTGTACTTCAGATGCTCTTATTTCATTTCCGTCAAGGATAACAGCAGCGAATATGCA